TGTGCGGCTGTGGACCAGAAGGGGGGTGTCAATGAAAATGTATTTAGTTGACTTCACTTCAGTCCTACTAACAATACTGAGGCTGATACACTGATATTTTCTGCTTTTTATTCTATAGTCTCCCGCGCCTTAGCTTTTTATAGCGTAGAATACGTAGAGACATACTCATGGACTTCAATTTAACAAAAACAGCAGGGTAATTGATTCTTCTAAGCAAGGAAATATATTACAATTTAGATAAACATTTTATATACACTTGTTATAAGTTCTATAATGCATAGCTTTTAGACACAAATGGATATTAGTGCAAGAGGTAACATCAGAAAGCCTTCAAATGACCAGTGAGGTACTTACTGTCTCCTTCCACCTTCTCTGGGGTTCTAAACCATATAACTTGTCTGGTGTCCATCTTCACCTGGAAGGTCCTTCTCTCTGGTCTTTGAGATTTCTTCTGGTAAAAGAGTGTCAGTACCGTGCCCATCTCCAGGGTCCGCAAGGTCCTGGCCATATCTCCCGTCTCTATTCGGGGTTCGTCTAGGAAGCCATTCATGTTGGACATTCTGCACCCCGACATTGTCACTGCATGTCAACCCACCACCACGAGACAAACACCTGGGAAGTTATTACATGTGAATAGGCCACCTGCACACTACTCCATGCTCTGTAATAGACAAGACATAGAGCGTAACAATGACATTGATACACCTCAAATCACCAAATATCCTGAAAACAACAAGGTACCTCCAATTGTCAAGCGCCACCAAAAATCAAGTTAATCCTTATATCCAGCCGTCTCTTTAAGCAAATCCTTCAAACCGCACAAATATATAAATAGCCTTAGTTTACGCTATGAAAAGCCCTGTATCCAAATAAAATAGTTTCCAGTGGAGGTAAATAACAGGACCGGAGGGGGAGAAGAGCTTGATTTATGATTCCCAAAGGACCGCAGCCACTCCTTGATCTACTCCTCCACAAATACTGATTGGATGGGAGCCCCTGGAGACAATCCACTCCTTGCCAATAGCAAAATCCAAACAGGTCCAGAACTTGATGGTGGGAATTGAAGGAGCTGGGGTCAGGAAACCCAAAACCACATTTGACCCAAGTCCAAGACTAAGTGATGAATAAATAGGAATGTATCATGTATGGAAGCTAGAGTAGATGGCTGTGCCAGGTGACCCTGATGTGTATGTCAGGACAAGCAGGCTGTAAATGAGTCTATATGGATAATCTCTGAGAGCAGAGGATGAGGTCTCCTCTGTGTACAGTCATGATGTCTTCTCCACTATACATTCAATGAGCTTCCCCAGAGAGCTGCAATATTCCATTATCTCTGGAGGAGAGAGCATACTGCCATCCGGATTCAGACAGTGACTCAAGCTGTGCAGAGCAGGACTAGAACATGTAGAAATACAATGTATCCTTGTCATCAGCAGGGTTCCAGAGCTGTTCAGCCAGGTGACCTCACCAGGGGCAGATCAGGCAGGCTCAGGATGGGACCTCACCAGGGGCTGATAAGGCAGATCAGGCTGGCCCAGGATGGGACCTCACCAGGGGCTGATAAGGCAGATCAGGCTGGCTCAGGATGGGACCTTACCAGGGGCAGATATAGCAGATCAGACTGGCTCAGGATGGGACCTTACCAGGGGCAGATATAGCAGATCAGACTGGCTCAGGATGGGACCTCACCAGGGGCAGATATTGCAAGTCATGTTGGTCCAGGATAGGACCTCACCAGGGAAAGATAGGGTAGATGATGGGTTCCTACCAGTGGCAGATATTGCAGATCAGGCTGGCTCAAGATGGGACCTCACCAGGGGCAGATAGGGCAGTTCAAGATAGAAGGTCAGGTGGGACCAGCTGATCCTTGTTCCTTATCTTGCACTCAGCTCCTGTCTGATCCCTGCTTACTGCAATGGACGCCCAGAGGAAACTGCAATCACACATGGCCGGAAAGAGAACAGAAAGGAATTAAAAAAAAAAAAAATATTTGCTGGATGTTGAAGTTAGGGAAAAAACACACATTAGTGGATTTGTAGAAACTGGTAGTGTATAGCGACATCTAGTGGACAGTAATGAGACGCCTGTCAGAGGTTTATCATTGGGACAAAAACCCTGTAATAATAGTATTGAGCCCAGAAATTGCTGACCTCAAGTCTCCCCCCTGTACAGATCTGTGTGCACCCCATTACTGCCTGCAGGCACCCCTTTCATGCCACCTCCTGTTACCCTTCTAGATGAAATCATTGCATATTCACATTCATGTTGGAACGATAATGGGATTTATTTGAGGGTGCAGATTAAATCACAATGTGTTCAATGGTGTCATGTGTACCCCTTAATAAACAATATTTATTGAGAGATTTGGAGGCAGTCATTTACGTTGTTCTTTGATGTTTAGCAAGAACTAAAAAATTTTTACTCCCACCTTCCCACTACCAAAGTTTTACACCACCCCCTCTCCCATCATTATTATCGCACACTTAGATGCTATGTAGCCATCGGTTAAGAAGCATTTTTCATGTTTATTATGATTATATCTGCAGATATGATAACACGTATATTTATGTTTTCCTATATTTAGCTGCATGTAGATGTATATGTGTGTATATCTGCATGTGCAGTTATGTGCATCTATATATATATATGTTGGAAGACCATTTGGCCTGAATTTGTGGGAGGAGTTATGATCCTATTTAAACCCTACCCCCTACTTACCTTTGTCGGGCAAGCTGTTTGTCGTCTCCATAGTTATCTGCACTTCCGGTTCGTCGTTCCCGCCAAGTCCTTTCTCAAGCCATCTCCAGCAAGCAGTCTGTCACCAGCAGCTCCTGCCCCCGTCTTCCGTGCCCGTCCACCGGCTTCTACCCGACTTCGCTACTCGCTACCCAGCTTCCGGTCACAAGACCGGCACGTCCACGTAAGCATAAACATGGGAAATGGCGTTCGGCTAAAAACGCAGGCATAGGCTCCCTTCATTACTTACCCGTTTGTGCTCTTACACTGTTCGTGTACTTCTGCGTTCGTAAGGCTAAAAGCCGACCGCAAAGTACACACTGCTTTCGTTTGTATTTTCATATAAGATACCTGCTGACCGCACTGAACTAACTTACGTTCGACTATTTCATCCGTTCGTTCAGTCGACCACATGTACAATTGGCTTACGTTTAAATCTGCTCGTATGCTCCATTTAACCGAACGCAGGAGTTCTTTCTCTTAACAGTTCTCCTGTTCATTCATTTATCTGAACGCAAGAGGCTACAGTGTTTAAATTCACAAATCTACTGTAAATGTACCTAGTTATGCCATTCACTTAAACCAAGCACTCACATTATTTATCCATTTATATGGATTTATGTTTTTTATTATATGGCTCTTAAACTCACCACTGGTTAAATAATATGTGTTTCACTAAATTTCCCGTCCATGGTCACATAATTATGGGACACCTATCTTTCCCAGGGTAATCTTCTTAAAGGCGCAGTTGGCCACTTCCACTTTATAAGTTACGTCAATTAAAAAAATATACCTCCAGGCATTATTTTCTAACCCTGCTGGGACTTAGTCTATTGTACTTTCCCTAAAGTATTAGTCTTCTTCGCAACTAAGGTCTTCTTCGCACTCATAGGTTAATCCCTTGCGGTCCTTTTTTCACCAGGCTCATTACAGAACACTAGCACGATTTTAAAACCTCCGTTCCTTAAAAGTCCTTATATACTGGTTCCTTACACTTAGACTGCATATGTTTTTAGGTTTTACTACTTTCCTCCAAACAGTCTTAAAGAAGTGGTATCCCAGTATCCCTTACTACTGTATCAGGTAAGAAGGTTTACCAGTTCTCTTTTTCCCTCGAGGCCTCATTCAGCCTCCACGGCCTCATTCAGCCTCCCCACCTCCCAAAGTGGGTTCTAAACTTCAAATGGGCCAGGTCTGAGATTCCTCACTGCAATTAAAACATCAATCACACAAACCTACACCACCTTGCTACTACTTATTTAACGGTACATTTCTTGTCTATTGTTTCTACATTTCTTCACTCAGACCTGTGTCATTACCGCAGTTTCGCCAAGTTACACGGCATCAACCACCAACAAGACTACCTGGTTCCCTGCATTTCAGTCTCAGGTATTGTTGAATCTTACTACGATTACGTTTCTCCTTAACCCCTTAAGGACCAAACTTCTGAAATAAAAGGGAATCATGACGTCACACATGTCATGTGTCGTTAATGGGTTAAGGCCTCACTTCGCCTTCGTATCATGTAAATTCCCCAATCAGGGAATCCCAGGGGGCTTGTCTCTACTTACGGACCAACGTTCAGGTCCCTCGTCGTACACGTGTTCTTACGTTACAGTTTCACGATTATACTATACCCATACGTTTGACATTTTTACACTTGGCATACCAGTGGAACGGCGCAGGTCCTCTAGCATCTTTATTACCCTTAGGATATCTTCACCAGACCCATTCCCTGCAGGAAGCAAGAATATATTGAAATTCTCCTGCACATTGACCAACAAAATAGGACAATACTCAAGATTAAGTATATACATACGTTCCATTACACCATTCAAGGAGACAAGCCCCATCAGACTAGTGAACTGGCATTGAGGGTTAGGTGCTGGCCTTAGCTATCCTAAGTAATACTACAGTCGCGCGAGGTCTACACCCCCACCTCATACACGGAGGTTCAGCTCCACAACCAAATCATAGTTAGCTACCTCGCTCGCCCTTTTTTAGGGCTATAGCTACCATCTGTCACCTAAGATACGCCTAACTAAGGTTAACATTGATATCCTGGCATACTATCTGCATTTACACCCAGCTAGGCATCTGGTAGATTCTGGTTTCTCACAGGGGTTTCACACGGGCCTTACCGCCATTCCCACAGGTACACTCGTATGCCCTAACCTATTATCTGCATCCATTGACCCTCTTACGGTGGACTACCTTCTGTCCACAGCAATCATACGCTGGCTTCACGATCGCCTCTTTCCGGTCTTCACACTTCTCATCTTGGCGTACCAATCCCATCGAGGTAGCCATTCACAATACCATATAATACGTCTGATCATAGACCTCTTCCGCACCGCACTCTACATCCATTCCCAGCATCAACTCCCTCATTCCCACTAAGGAGTTCTCACTGCACTGCGCAAAACGACGATGCCATGCAAGCTATCACTTCAGCAGGGAGTGAGGCTTGGTTGAGCAAGACAGACTTAGCCAACGTCTTTAATCTACTACCTATTCACCCTTCACTATGGCACCTGGCCTACGTTTGGCTCTAGGAGCAGCCCTAAGTATTCAACATCTTCACACAAACCCTCTGCTGGCCGCTCCTAAAAATTATGCAGATGCCCATCAGTCATCCACTATCTGGATGAATTTTTTGTTGAATTAACAGGTTCACAAACACCTAACAGTGTTTACACCACCACAGCCTCCTTTTCACGACACTCGGGGTCCCTCTGTCACCAGGCAACCACTGGGTAGGGATGCCTGGCCCACTGTGACGGATGCCTTGCCGGCCTTTAGAGAGATTTCTACTTGTCAGAGATCTACTCCATCATGGCGGCCACACTCACATGGGGTCATCTTTGGACCGGCAAGGTAGTTAAATGCTGCTCTGACAACTACGCAGCCTGCGACATCATTAACAAGGGCGGTCAACCTAGCTAACCATTTTGTGGCTGACTTGCAGGCTGACTTGCCCGGGCAGCAACCTCTCATCTCTTTTTAGTCTGCTTTTACATTCCTGGTGTCCACAACACAGCCGCTGTCGCTCTTTCACGCCCAATTTAAGGTCTTCTTTCAGGCACTCCCTACGACCCACTACCTACCAACCAGGATACCACCATTCCATGAGCTAATCTTGGACTAAGCACACAATTACACCTCGTACAGGTATGCATGCGTCACACAGTTTCACGACTACTATAGCACTCACGCCAGGGCTTTGTATATTGTACCATGTCACAAGTAGAGCTTGCTTGATTCAAGACTTTTGCAGTTAAACTATGGCAATTTTTGCCTCTTCCTCTAAACCTACAAGTCAAGCATCTTACTTATACCTCCTATGCTGTCACTCCGCTTTTTCGTATTGTGATCCTTGTCTGCAGATAGCACGGTCCTTTAGGGTAAACAACAGGCACAGTCCTTTGGTTTTCATGTAATCCAGGCAGTTTTATTGTTAAACTCCACCACAGTTACAGCAGCAAATGAAAAAAACAACAATAACACAAATCCCTATAAACAAAAGCCTAGCTCGTCTGAGCACTAACTAACATCAGATTCCCTCTCTCTCAGGGGTTAAACTAGAACAAAATAATATATGGGTTCACCAACCTAGATCTCTGCACTCCACACTCGGTTAACATGTGGCTTCCATTCCTTCTAGAAATAAACAGAAGTCTCTCTCTTTTCCGCACTCCCAGTGCTCCAAGCCAGCCTTGACTGCTTTCCTTTTGCACTCCCAGTGCTCAGTCTCCTTGACTCTCTCACAGGAGAGAACAGCCTCTCTCCAACCTGCTTCCAGGGAGGAAGCCAGCAATCCCCCCTTTACCTGCATAGCAGGGAGGGGTTTATTCCCACTGCTACAGCTGATTATCTGCAGCGGAGCAGTGGGTTGGAGACAGTTCCAAAAAACTCTTGCCTGGACCTGATTTCTCCCACTTGTGTATAAACTGAAGAGTGGAGCATTGGCCCACCCTGCTCTCCAAATGCTCCACCCCAGGGGCCCATAACTAAACCTAGCTTTGTGTTGCACACCACACATACAACACGTACTTCCCCTGGGGTTAAATGTTAAAGGCCTCTCTACCTTCACTTTATCACAGTATTCAAGGTCAACTACACACTATCGGTCCTAATCCATTACTTCACGTCCAAACCTTCCATTAAGGTGAGCTACATCATGGCTTCCTTCGCTGGTCTCTTTTTCGCAAAAGTGCTGCATCAGCAGCTTCAAGCTCTTGCACCACAGTCTACATCACTAAGTGATGGGGCCACAGGTAATCCTCAGCTCAGTTACATATGTGACAAGACCAATCTCGCCACTGTGCTTTGGAGGAGCCTGGTTGCCCGTCTGCTGCCTTTAGACTATGGCCCCATGTTGAAACGCTTGATTTTCCCCTGCAAAGACACAAAAGCCGGGTCATTCGGTGCTTGCCCTGTTTGAGCGGTGATACCACAGATAGCTATGCCATGGAGCCCATTCGTATAATGAAACACTATGGGAAAGACTTTGGCTCCATGGCAATTGAACTGTATGTGTGCAATCTGAGCGCCATTCAGTAATAATGTGCGCTCAGATCTGAGCTATCTGAGGATATGTTGAATGTACCTGTTTTATGCAATGGCTGCACAGTTATATATTTTTATGTATTTTATTGTCTTTTGCTGCCATGTGTTCAATGGAGTTTTGCCTCGGTCCTTGGAGATAATTGGATTACTTCCCAATTATCTCCAGGATAGAAGACTCTGTGGAACTGGTTTTGGGCAGAAAAGCCATGCTTCATTTGCTCACAAACGACTACGATCTATCTTTTGAACCACTGGACTAATTTGTATGATTTTGACCTATGTTTGTATTTGGAGTATGCTGATTCTGAAAATGTAAGTGTGATGCATACTTTTTAAATTATGAATAATGTGGAAAAACTGTATTTCTCTGCCTGTGATAATTACATTACCCATTGTGTATCACAGGCAGAAGGGAGGATTTTGTGTGGGAGTGTCTGAGTGTATTGTACGTGTTTATTGGTTGTTTTCCAAAACCCTGTGGGTGGTACTAATGTGTAAGAATGTGTATAAGAACAATAAACCCACAGCTCTGTCTGTTCCTGCTTGACCCTCAAAACGGAGCCTTGTCTCGTTCTTGGGGGGACTTGTTGTATGCTGTTCCAGTTTGACTGCTAGGAGTGTAAACCTATTCGTATGGTTTTTCCTATGTGGCTGTTTACGGCATTCATATGGTTTCCTGTTTGGCGGATTGGTGTCTTTGGTAGCTGCCTGTATATCTGGAAGGGAATATCTCCTAAACGGCTGTTAACCCCCTTTATGCCTGGGGGTGTTGTTACAATTGGTGGCAGCGGTGGGATGATCTCACAGCTTAAATGGGTGAAACTGCCGTTTAGTTAATCTCCCCCCTTTCAGAGACACAGGCTCTATTGCAGTAGACCGCCAAACTCCCGAACGGAGTATAAGGGAATGCGATAAACCCACGAACAAAAAATCAGCCAAACTCCTTCCACAGCTAAAACAGGCAAAATAATACTTCCAAGTAGCAATCCCGCCAAACACGAGACCAAGCTCCGTCTTGAGGGTAAAACAGGGATCTGATTTTATAAATACCGGGCAGGTCAAATATCTGCCCGGTATTTATGCAGGTCTCCCACCTGGTGGACACTCCCCTAGGGGACCAGATGGGAGACTGGGACACAGAATATACAGTAGCCAATCACAGTGGCTTCACTCTAAACACTCCCCTTTTCACAAGTAAATCTCTCCTCTCTATCCTGGAGATAATTGGGAAGAAATCCAATTATCTCCAGGGATAGAGGCAAATCGCCATTTTACATAGGAAAATAAAAACACAAAAATCCATAATTACAAAACTACCGAATGCTTTTAGTTCATGCAACGTATCCCCAGATAGCCTGGGTCTGAGCGCACATAACTACCGAATAGCCCTAAGACCCAATTGTGGCAAACCTAGCCACTTGGACATTATACAGAGACTGTGGCTTTAAGGGTTGCCTGTATGGTTGTGGTGATATGTATGTCCCTGGGTGTAATGTATGCTGACTGTATAACATTGTATTGCCTGTATTGGCTATCTGCCGAAAGCAGATAGCTGTATTTCATTTCGTTTCACGAACGACACCTTTGCGGGCTATTCGTGAACCGAATAAACCACCCTGTAATAGCCCACACATTAAGAGACATGTGGCGCTTGTTAACCGATTGCAACAATGTTGAAATCGGTAATTAGAGGCTCTCCTAGGTGGCCGTCGTTCGACTACCGACCACGCGGCGGTCGGCCATCTTGGATCCTTTGTTCCCCCAGCGGTGTTTGGTCGTCAAGCGCGTGGTACTAAAAACGGCTACTCGACGGCGCGAACACCGCTGGACTTCCAAGGCCGTTCGGGAGTTCCAGGCCCTTCGGTATTTTATCCCCCATATGCCAATCGGTCTTTTGAATGCATGTTTTCGTGAATATGTTTTTCGTGCGGCGTTCGGTTGTTTTAGCTGGGATCTGAGCGGTAATCTCATGAATGATGCGCTCAGACCCCAGCTATCTACCGAACGTCCATTCGTGCAAATCAACCTAATATTCGAAAAGTTGTGTGTTTTAATGTAAATTGCCGGTTCTGCTGCACGGGGGATAATCCACTTGACGGTACATTCCAGTGGGAGGATCCCACTCGTGCAGCAGTGCCTGATGGGAGAAATGCTCTGCACTTTAAGTTCCCCACGTAGTCCACTCCTGAAATACCCCTGGGATAGGACTCAGGAAACCCCTTGCATGGGGAATTGTATAAATTGTGGAGCCTGTGAATAAAGCCTTCTGTTGACTCTCAGAACTGTGTTTCGTCTGGTTACTCGGAAATTTGGGATATTGCCTTACTTTTCAGCGCTTGACTGTGGATTACCTTCTTAACCAGCGGAGATCGTGGGATTTAATATTGCCGCTCCGCTACAATTGGTGGCAAGAGACGGGATCCAACCTTACAGCGGAAAAGCGTTGTTCGTGCAATTGAAAGTGCCGAACAGGAAAAAGGGAATGGCAATTCAAATGCAACAAAAGAACCGAACACAGAAGTGAATGGAGACGGATTATGCTACGTTAAAACGGCAGACACTGAAAGAACTGCTGGAAGCTAGAGGAAAGACAGCAAGCAACAAATCCAAAGCAGTGCTGATCGCTGATCTCGTGGAGGGCGACCGAGCTCACAACAGCACACCCCTACCAGCCAGGGAAGAAACCCTGTACCAAAAGGAACTGAGAACCCGGCTGGAGTTTTTACCGCAGCCAGTACCCCTGGACATCCTGACGGTCGTGTTGGCTGACGTGCAGGAGTATGTGATGGCACAAAACCACCAGGGAGCACCGTCCAGGACATAATCCATTACTGCCTCCATCTGCGGTCAGGTTGTGGCGAAACCAGCCTCGCCACATGTCCTTGGAGGGGGCTGCTTGCCCGCCTCTTGCCTTTGGACTATGGGCCAGACTTTATGTGAATGTGTTAACCCAGATAGCAATGCCATGGAGTCTATTCGTGTAGTTAAAGACTTCGGCTCCATGGTAATTGAACTGTGTGAATAGGATC